GTTGGTAGGGTGTGTGACTCTTGATCTCAGGGTTGTGAGTTCCAGCCCCACGCTGGGTGTGGGATTTTACTTAAAAATAAAATCTTAAAAAAAAAAAGGGTATACACTTCCAGTTATAAGACAAAAAAGCCTTAGGGATCATGGTAACTGTAGTTAACAATACCATATTGTATATTTAAAAATTGCTAGGAGAGTAGATCTTAAAAGTTCTCATCACAAGAAAAACAATTCTGTACCTATATGTGGAGATGAATGTTAGTTAACTAGACTTGTAATCAGTTTGAGCTACATACATCTACCAAATCATTATGTTATACACCTAAAACTAATAAAACGTTACGTCAATTATGTCTTGTTTTTAAAAATTATTTCAGTGGGCTTCAAATTATTTTTTTTAAAGATTTTATTTATTTATTTGACAGAGAGGGACACAGAGAGAGAGGGAACACAAGCAGGGGGAGTGGGAGAGGGAGAAGCAGGCTTCCCGCTGAGCAGGGAGCCCAATGTGGGGCTCGATCCCAGGACCCTGAGATCATGACCTGAGCTGAAGGCAGATGCTTAACGACTGAGCCACCCAGGCGCCCCAGTGTGCTACAAATTATTAAAGTAAACAATGTATACATAACCTAAAGATACCTCCAGTATTTAAAACCCACCAAGTTAACACCTTCTGATACTTAATTAAGTAACACTGAAAACAAATTATCTTCAAGGTAAAATACTTTTGCTCCAAAACTTGTGTCCATATAACTTGTCAAATCTTGTGTTGTGATTTTTTTCTATAATATACACATGGGCGCTTCAATGAAAAGCATTAGCAAAAAAAAAAAAAAAAGCTTTCTTTTAAAGAGCACGGTCCTTCCGAGGTGGCAGGAGCTGGATGGACGCAGAGCAAACCCAGCCTAGTATGTCTGCATTTGTGAAAACAGCCACCTCGGACAGTCGGAGGTGCTCTCCGGAAAGACAGTTCCAGAACGACCTTCGAGCCTGGGAGACGCTGACCCTTAACCTGGTCTTTCTAAATTTGGGCCAAGGATGGCCCAGTTCACCGCAATTGGTTTAGAGGGACAAAGAAACAAATCGTATAACGACCCAGATTATAAAGGGCTTTAAATAGCCAACACTTCTAAATATAATCCAGCATTAAGAGCCCACAGTGGAAAGTACATTAAAACTCCACGTTAAACCCACAAGAGTCTGAAAAGTACGCAGAAACAGCACGACCCAGTGCGCAGAGGACCAGCTGTCTGCAGGGGTCGCAAGGACAGGAGGAGCAAGGTTTCCCCGGAGTGTGGGGAGTGTCGGGGTCCCTGCCTCGGCGTCCCCGGCCGCCAGGCAGAGCAGGGAACCTGGCAGGGGTCCAGCCCAGGCACACTTCCTCTGAAATGATGGAATTTTTATTCGAGGTCTCGCATACGCTTATAAAGGCACAAGCCAGCATTCTTGAGGCAGCTTGGAGGCCATGAGCGACTCGGCTGGACTCTGGGCTTTGAACAAGAAGGAACAAGGAGGAAGGGGCACCCACTCCAGGAGATACAAGTTCACACCTTTAAGCGAAAACAGCTGACTTACTTCTTTAGAGTAATCAGAGTCGAATTCACTCGTGAGCTGGGGGTTTCCACCTGAAGTCCTACCCTGCCAGTTTAGTCCTTTCTGAAGGGACGATGTGAAAGCCATACAACCAGCAGGGCCCGCAGTTCACCTGCTTAGCTTAGGCCAGTGGCCGACACCACAGACACGACCTGGGGAAGTCAGGGGGCCCCAGCCTCCCCACGCAACCCCTGGACCAAAACCAAAGCCCACCTATGGGCCGAGGACTTGGGGACCATGATTTCTGTAGTAAGAGACCAGGGTAAACAACGAACTGAGAAACAGGATCAAAGGTCTGGCATAGAACCACCACGGTGGTTTTGGAGGTACTGGGATCCTCTCCAATCAGAAAATAAAAGCAAGTATTCTAGAGCAAGGGCCAGACACAAACGGAGTAACCGGAGACCCTCGTGAGCAAGGTCACCGCCAGGGGACCCTGCATGGGCGTTAGGGCCATCCCTGGGACTGGAGGGAGGAAAGGACTTCAGAGGGGTTCCATAAATGCGCTCGAGGGCATGCCCACGTTCCACGTGGGACCCCAGGCACCACGTACACCTTTCCAGGAAAATACCAGCCCAGAGGCTCCTCTAGGCCAAAAATCATGGTAGAAAGAGAGCCTATTTTCCAGCTCCCAGAAAAGCCGGAAACTCTCAAGAGTGCTGAGGTTCCCACCGGGGTTCTGAGCCACTCGGACAAGGAGCTAAGGGGCTGAGGTCCCCCCAGGGCAGTCAGTTCTCAGGGTCACAGACCCCAGTGCAAAGAGCTGACCGTGTCCAGGACCAGCTCCTGGAGCAGAAATTCCTTTTGAGGACCCTGCAGCCAGGCTAAGCACACTGACCACAACCTTGGGCCCTGACATGAAGTCCCAGTGCAACCCAGGACCAAGGCCGTCTTCAGAGAAAGGGCCACGAGGGACTCCAAACTCCCTGTGGACCTTAACACAGAAGAAAGCCTACAGCAGGAGAATAGCCAAGCTTCAAATGGAATCAGAACGGTGATGGCCATTATATTTGAAAAGACATAAATATCAGCAACAAAAGTCGCTAACTTCCTAGACAATTTGAGATTTGAAAAAGAGTACTTACGTCGTGTCCAGGGTCCGATTGATTTTTGCAATTATCCCCAGCGAGGGGTCGATCTTGGCATACATGGTTGACATCACACCCACCACCACGATGAGCCAACTGGAGGGGCTCGCCGGGTACACACCAGTGATGATGCCATTCTAGAAAGAGAACATGCACCATGAGTACTGTCCCGCCCACAAAGTCCACGGCTCCTGGTGATGGGGGCAGCGGAATGACAGCAGGGGGAAGGAGGCCTTTGTAGTTCACGGTGGCTAAGTGACCACTATAGAACATCTTCCCCAGAGACTCCAGCCCCTTCTCTTCCTCTATTTCTGAGCCAAATCCCTCCCAGAAGGAGATACCCTGAGAGTGACCCCAGGACATCTGAATCACCCAACGCATGAGTTTAACATTGATTCCCGAGCTCCACCCAGACTGACTCTCGACACCCTCGAGTTAAGGACGTCACTGAGCCAACCATGATGTCCTCTCCCCAATCTGCTACACCTGGGATGCCCCAAGACCCCCAGCTCCAAAACCACCCCTCCTGCCGCTCCTGAATCAAGAGGCTGCTCAATCCCCAAGTATTTTCAGGAGACCTGACTGCATGTTGAGAATTTGCTGTACGATCCCTCAGCCAAACCCCTCTACTTCCCCACCCTAAAAACCACAAAAAAGTAGCAGGAGCAGAAGACGGATATGAAACAAAATTCTGGAACCCAGGTGAGCCTTGTGGCTCCTTATTCTTTTTATTTCTGTGTTTGTTTCAACACTTCTAATAAAAAAAAATACATATATCTTACTAAAGCCGTCTTTAACAAGAGATTGATTTGGCCAAGACAATGGATTTAAAAACTCTCAAAGCTTATCTGAATTCTTTTAGGAGCTCCTTGCATCCCTACATGCCATTCCCAATGGGTTTTCGATTGTCTAGAAGTGTAAGAGAAAGAGATTTTAAACAAAGGGGGGGTTCTCCTGGTGTTCTCGGATAGATACGTACATGTACTACATTACATGACATTACAACGGGGTCAGGAAGGGCCCAGATTAAAAGGTCTCCCGCTCACCCCAGCCTCCCCCTGCAGCCCGTCCAGCTGCCAGCCACGCGGTCAGGCGAGGCTGTGAACTGTCTATCCTCTCTCTTCCTACCTACTGGTTTTGCCTCCTCAGCTGTACTACAACCTCTTGAAAACCAGACAACATTTCCACTGGCTTGCAGTGACGGACCGCCCCAGCCCTGCACCCAAGTCTCTCTTCCTGGATCTGAGGGGGGAAAAGGAGCGGCTCCCGGCAAGGTCAGGTGACAACGCGCGCTTCCCCCTGTAGGTGGCGCCTCCTCCCCAGAGCCACCGGCCCCGCCGACTGCCTGTCCTGCCGGGCCGGTTCCCAGGGGCCCGGCCCCCTCCTCTGACTCACCGCTTTCACCCTACCCTGGCTCCTGGGCCTTCTCAACAGCCCTTCTCTGAGCGACACCCTCAGAAAAGGAAACGGGAAAACAAATACAGGTAGGAGTTTTCCTCATTCCCCGGGCAGGTAACTCGATGAAAGGTCATCCCGTTTGAATTCTTTCCAAACACGCATCTTATCCCTTCTGTGATTTTTGAAATAAATTAAATTACGGGTAAGTTAAAAGAACAACACTCGTGCTTGATTAAAACCAGTGAATACATTTCCAGTCTTTCAGGTAAACCGAACTGAGGACATAGGAAGGTAACTCTGCTTGAATTTCCACATGTATTTCAACATCGGACTGTTTTACCAGCGAGGCATCTGTTAGATGAACTCACGGCCGTTGGCACAGCTGGGAAACAATCCTTCTTCTACAAGATGTAAAGAGTGCTGGGCTCAGAGACATGGGTTCTAGTCTTTCCTCTACTTCTCTGAGCAGGTCACTCACCCTCTGTGAGCCCCCACGCCCCTGCCTAGAGGGTGCCGCCGCCCCTGCCCGCCTTACAGAATTCGGTGAGCCGGTGTACTCGGAAGCGTTTCCTAAGTACCGAGGGGGTATCAGTCATGCCGATCAGCACTCAAACACGCCCACCGCACCAGCACCTACACGTGTTCTCGGATGCTGAAGTGAGCACCATACAGATTTAAACAAGGATTGGCCAACCTTGAATCTGATGAACTTCTTTTTCCAGGAATGCAGTCCAGACAGATAGATTTGCTTGAGGGCTTCGTGGCTCAGCCGCAGGTCGATCCCGTCCGGGGTGACCGTGAACTGGAAGGCCACGGCTTGGTGAGCTTCTGCCATCTTCGGCAATCTCCTAGCAGGAGGGGGAGGAGGGCAGAGTGTGACGCAGCCAGCATGTCTCCGGACATTAGAAAACCCCCTCACCCACACCTGGGATTCGTTCTGCATGAAGTCTTTCCCAGCCGTTTCACAAACTTAGTATTCCATTCACAGACCCCCGCGCAGCGCCCCCTCCCCCACCTGCCCAGCACTGCACAGCCCACTGTCGCCTCTGCTGGGAGGCCCGGGGTGGCCAGCGGAGTCCAGGAGTGGCACCTCCCACCACCACCTCCATCCCCGAGCCTCCAGTGTCCAGACCCACGGAAACCCCTACCCCCGGCCCCCGGCCCCGGCCATCCCACTGAACCATCCCACCAGGCCAGCAGCCCGGGCCGCACCCAGCTGACCCAGGAAGCTGGTGGCCGTTTAACCACCTGCCAATCTCATCCCCACCCACCAGCTGCCTGGAGGCTGGCACAGAAGAAACCCAGAGGGTCCACAGATGAGTCCGTGATGGCCCTGAACCCCTTATTTCTGGACTCTGGGGTGCAATGTGGCTGTTGGCTTGAGAGACCATCTCAGGCAGCAAAAAAGACTCCATGAGAAGGAGACGCACAGAATCCTCAGGAGTGGGTGTTTAGGCGTGTCTACGGATGGAGCCAGGTCTCCTTCCTCCTCCTCCTCCTCCTCCTCCTCCTCCCCCTCCTCGGAGGCTATGACTGACTTGGGTCAACAACCCAAGGGGTGGAACATTAACTAGGGGGGCATTTACCCTCCTGCAAGCAGGCTGGCTCTGGGCTACCTGCCCTGCCCCAACGAATAAAAGCGCGTCTCCTTTCAACGGCTTCAGAGCCGGGTCTCTTCTGGCTCCCTTCCCCCTGGCTCCTGTCTTCTTCCTTGGCGACTCTGGAGCACCTCCCGGCCTCCCTCCGGTGGAGCCGGCCCCTCTGCCACCTTCTGGAGCCGTGGGACCAAGCCATCTCTTCCTAAACTCTGCTGGAGCGCCCCGCGATCGAAAGGAAGCTAACGGCGGGGGGGAGAAGCTACCAAGAACCGTAACAAAAATCCAAAATCGTGTGTGTGTTTTCTTATCACCAACTATTTCTCCTGTTTTTACCTGCTGAAGCCCACCGAGTGCGGGTGGAGGACGAACTGAAATCAACAGGTATCGTGCTTTCAAAGATGCCCAGTTACAAAAGCCAAACTAGCTTAGTTTTCAGCTAATTGGAACAAACGCCCCATTAGAGGCCCCGAGAGGCATGCAGCTTGCATTCATCGGCTCCTTCGGCAAGCGTGTGTTGATTGCCTCCCCCATGCCAGCCACACGGAGGACCGAGACGTTGGCAGAGAAGTCCTCCTGCCCCCCACCAGCTCAGACAGGGAGGCCGGAAGACGAGGGGGTGTCAGAGAGGGGACCTCCTGGGTGACACAGAAGTCCAGGAGGATTGGCCGGAGGGCAAGCCTTTCGGGCCCAAAGGTAAAACAGGACTCTAGGTAGAGGTCAAGGGCAGGTCAAGGGCAGGTCAAGGACAGGGTGGTTGGGGTCAAGGGCAGGCCGCTAACTTTGGAGAGGAAGGCCCAGAGGCAGTCAGGGGAGGCAGCTGGGTTTTATGTGAAGGGTTAAGGAAAACCATCCAAGGGCCTTAAGTTACTGTTTCTGTTCTCAAGAAGACCACTCTGGGGGCGCCCGGGTGGCTCAGTCGGTGAAGTGTCCAACTCTTGATTTCGGCTCAGGTCGTGATCTCGGGGTCGTGAGATCAAGCTCCACGTGGGACTCCATGCTCAGCTGGGAGTCTGCTTGAGATTCTCTCTCTCCCTTTCCCTCTGCCCCTCCTGCTCATGCTCGCTCGCTCTCTCTCTCAAATAAATCAATCTTTTAAAGAAGGAGGAGGAGGAGGAAGGGAGGAGAAGTGGTGTGTGGACCCACTACATTTGACGTCGCTGGGGGCAGAGGGAGAGGCTGGGGTGGGCACCCCCTGGGAAGTGTCAGCACATGAACCTACGACTCTGCTTTGATTATGAAGGAAAAGAGCAAGTTGGCAAGACTGCAATCCCCTGGGAATAACCTTAGCTTAAAGTGATCTGCAAAGTGTTCACGATGATCTACGTGTTATTTAGCAGGCATGGAGCCAACCTCCCTAGCCTGGCCAATTTTGAAGGAAAAGATGCCACGTGTGAAAACAGCAAGATCTCCAAGCAAATGCCTCCTGCAGATAATTCAGGATGTGGAAGAGGGTGTCCTTTTCTCAAAAAGCTATCCAAGCGGCTTGAGCATTCTGCCGGCGCCTCAAGGTTAACTCTTAACCCCTCCTCACGAAGGCTTCAGACCCCCCCATGCGGCGGGAGGTGGGCGTCACAGAGAGAATTCTGCAGAGCCAGAAGCACGGCAAACAAAGTTACAGACTGGCCACCCTTTCCATGATTTGTAAGATCTTTCAAGGGCTTTATAAGGACATGAGGGATTATTAATGGCAGTAGATGGAACCTAAACATGGCGTTTGTAGCCGATTCTATCCGAAGGTATGGGTCCGGTGTTCACCCGGGGATCTAACCTCTGCCGGGCAGAGAGAGGGAGGCGAGACAGAGGATCTGCAGTCTCCCTGCCAGGAGTCAATGGCCTTGTCAGAACCCTGACTTTAACTAAGGATTTGCTCGTTTGGATTGGTTCAAACTAAAAACCAAAGATAGGAGTCCTAAATGAGCAATCTTTTTCTAGTTTTGCAGTAGGCAAGGTGCTGCCCTGGGCCGACCTCCCACTTCCAGCCATCGCAGTAATTAGTGAACCGGCAGACAAAGGTTCGAAACACGCCCTGTGCAAATCTAGTAAAGGGACAATCCCACCCTCTATCCTGGGATCCACTGCCTCACGTTCAAAAATACTGACGATTACAGGGGCGCCTGGGTGGCTCAGTCAGTTAAGCGTCCGACTCTTGATCTCAGCCCAGGTCTTGATCTCAGGGTCGTGAGTTCAAGCCCCACGCCAGGCTCTATGCTGGGCATGGAGCCTCCTTCAAAAAAAAAAAGAAGAAACAATTTACACTCATAAGGCCACCTCCTGTGGCTGTAGGGAAATGCAGATCAAAACCGAGGCCAAATGCCACGGCCCGCCCCCCAGGACGGCTAGCACCTGCTAGAACCTGCAAGATCGAGGTAACAACACTGCCAAGGCATGGGCGAGGCCACAGAGGATCCAGAACCCCCACGTGCTGCGAGTGGGGATGCGCTATGGGGCGGCCACGCTGGGGATCAGTCTGGCGGTTTCTCAAAAGGTTAAACATGGCCTTGGCACACGGCCCCGAGCTTCCACTCCCGGCTGCCTGCCCAAGAGGACTGAACACGAGTCCACTCAAAATCCTGCACGCCCAGGTTCCTAAAACGCCATTACGCACAATAACCAAAAAACAGAAGCAGCACCAATGTCCTTCCCCTGATGAGCAGGTAGATAAAATGGGGTCTAGCCACCCAACAGAGTGTTCTTTGGCTGTTAAAAAGGAACGGAGCACTGGCACACGGATGAACCTCAAGAACCTCCTAGTACAGGAAAGCAGCAGACACAAAAGGCCACACACTGCACGCTTCCATGTACGTAAAGTGTCCAGAATGGGGGGGGGTACACGGCGGGGGGACGGAGAGGGGTAGATGGCTGAGGGGAGGGATGGTTTCTTTCTGGGGTGAGGAAAGCGTTCGAAATCTGGACCGTGGTGCTGGGTGCACCTGTCTGCGAAGGGACTCGCAGCCACAGAAGCGTGCACTTTGGATGGGCGTAGGGGACAGTGCGCTAAGTCATACCTCAATAAAGCGGTTACTATAAAAAAGCCACCTCGTGAAACTGAAGTGTCGTCTATTCCACATTAATGCACCTAAACCTTCTCTCCTCAAATCTGTAACGCAGGTGGGCGGGCCCACCAGTGTCCCACTCACTCCTCCAAGCAAGGGTCAGCTCACTGCATCGAGGAATTAACCGTTAAATATTTTTAGGGGGCGTAGGATACTGCGGTTATTTTTTAAAAGAGCTGCCTCTTGGGGTGCCTGGGTGGCTCACTCGGTTGGGAGTCTGCCTTCGGCTCAGGTCATGATCCTGGAGTCCCGGGATTGGGATCCCTGCTCGGCAGGGAGTCTGCTTCTCCCTCTCCCTCTGCTCCTCCCCTGCCCATGCTCGCTCTCACTCGCTCGCTCACTCTCTCAAAATAATAAAATCTTTAAAAATAAAAGAGCTGCTGTCTTTTAGCAATGCATACTGAAATATATATCGATGCAATTTTGTCCTTTGTCAAGTGCAGGGTCTGCTTCAAAATCACTGGGGGTGGAGGTATGAACTGGCCACGTGTGGGAACTGGTGAAGTCGGGCAGTGGCCATATGGCGGGGTCTGTTATGCTGGTCTCTTTTCTTCTGTAGATTTGTGATCCTCTCTTAATCATTTCTTAAAATATGTTTAACAAAATAAAACACCTGTCCTGGAGCTCGGTGCTCCACCGGACAATCAGACACTAACTTTCAAAGCTCCCGGCCTCTTCCAGTGCTTGTCAGTGGCCGCCCTTCCGGACACATCTCCCCGGCGAGCCCCACGAGCCACAAGCCAGCCCCCGCAGAGCAAGGTGAGGCCCCATACCCCGTGCACCGAGACCGAGTCAAATCAGAAGGGGTTCCGTCTCCAGGGCTGCTGCCCGCCCACAGCAAGCCTGCCCTTGCAGTCCTGGGCATTCACAACATGGGATTATCTACCCGACCCACCCCCACCCACCGACACCTAGAACAACAACAAAGGCTCTCTGTCGGATCACAGCACCCCTGACCTACCGCTCCCTAGCAGGAACTGCTATCTCGGTACCCGACGCGGGGCCCACCCTCACCTTTCACCCAGGTGGGTGCGGGTGAACCTGCCTGCCTGCCCCGCCTCCCCCACCTCCGAGTCTCCCCCAAAGGACCGCCAGAGTAACTGATGAAGACACACAGCGACCATCGCCGCTGCCCAAAGGCTGACCACCCGGGAGGCTGGGGGAGGGGAGAGGCAACCTGCGGGGGAGGGGGAGAGGGCGAGGCAAGCCATTCATTCATTCACGGACAACCAGGAATGAGGAGGGCCTCAAAAGAGCCCCAGGGGATTTTACTGTACTACACGGCACACGACTGTTTGGTGTCCTACAAGTTTTAAATCCTAAGACGTCATGCACACAGGTAACTACAGAATACCTATGAACCGGCCATATCAACTTGACATTGCCTGGTCTCCAACTCTCCGTTCCTGGGTCGGCCTCTGTGGAGTCCCTGGCCAGGCACGGCTGTCCTGTCACTCTGTCAGTGCAGC